TTGGCTAGTAGAGACTTATGACGTCAATAATCGCTCTCGGAGCGATTAACAAGGCCAGTCGAACATGCTATAAGAACGGGTGTATATCAGTTGGACACGGGGCAATTGGACACAGTCCAATCACAAGTCGCTGTTCCAAGGGACCCTACAAATGTCTCTAATCACACGGTGCTGTGATTGGCTGTGTCCAAATGCACCGTGTCCAAGTGCACCGCTCCCTATAAGAACAACAGCGAAGAGTCCGCTTAATTCACGCGCGCTATAGGGTGTAATCAGTTAGACACGGGGCAATTGGACACAGTCCAATCACAAGTCGCTGTTCCAAGGGATCCTACAAATGTCTCTAATCACACGGTGCTGTGATTGGCTGTGTTCAAATGCACCATATCCAAGTGCACCGCTCCCGCGCTATAATATATAACAATAGCTGCGTTCTGAAATTCACTGCCGGTACTGAAAATCCATAGTTTATGTTACGTATACTATAGATTTTCAGTACTGGCAGTAAATTTCGGAACGCAGCCTACGATAGGTGTCGTTCTTGGTGATGCTCGAAGCTGCAAGGTGTCGACACTTGTTCAAATCTTACAATAGGACGCTAGTGACGCTACTCGTGTTCCCGTTGCAGTTAATATCAATAAACCGTCACAACGTCTTTCCAATTTGTATCTTTTGGGTATGTTATATATGTTACTTATATAATTTACATAAATATACCAATGTATATTTATTTAATTAAATTGTAATAGTTTAACCTATACGAAAAAATGTGCATGTTGATTGGTAGATTAGATCGTAAGCATCATATTGATTTGTAAACTATTTCTGTTTATAAGATGTTGAGATTTTACGAGAATGAAATATTTTATAATATGCTTTTCATAATGTAAATATATATTCAACTTAAAACCGGAATAATTTTTGCATCAATCTTAACATGGTTTGTACATAATCTGCATTATTCTACAGACAGTTCATTTATAAAAAGATCTGTTCTCTTTAGCTGAATTGTCTAAACTGGTATACACTGGTGCAATAAGTTAGAGCGAGACAAATATATTTTGTCTCAAATACTCTAACTTATTGTACTGGTTCAGGCAGATCAACTAAAAAGAACAGATCTAAAGAAAACAATTTTTTCTGACAGATTATATCTATTGCTTTGCTTTTTATATTTAACAAAAAGTTAATTCAGTTTTATTTATATAGGTACATAACTAGGGCTTTTTGTGTACATATAGTATATAGTAAAAGACATAGGAATACTGCTAGCTAAAAAAGTTTTTGTCTGTATATTTATGGTTAAATTTTATTGTTTAGAATCAAATTTATACAAAATATGTTACAGTATTTAGTATTATTTGTTATAGAAATAATATGGTACGAGGTGGTCGTGGAGGAATGATCAGAGGTGGTCGTGGTGGTATGGGTCGTGGAATGGGCTTTCCACGAAAGCAGTTCCTACCACGTCACCCATTTGATTACACATTATGTGAAGCTGCTTTTCCACGTGTTAAGCCTATCCCAGATGAGTCAGACTTCCAAACAGCTCTCTTGAAGAAGAATACTGATATGTGTCCTACACCAAAAGAACAGACTTCAATATTAAATCTGGTGACTAAACTGCAAAGTGTACTGGATAATCTAATTGTTGCACCAGGAACTTTTGAAGCTTGTGTAAGTATTTATTATATTTTATTGTACAATTGAATTAACTCTATTAATAGTACATTTCAACTTTATATTTTTAAATATAAGATATCCAAACTTTTTTTCATCAATTTACAGATTAAAATATGAAAGTTTATTAGACATTATTTTTATTTCATTCTTCTATATCATATCTTAGAGATACTAATCTTTATTCTGAACTTTCTTTAATCAATAAAAGTATAATTTATAAGCTTTCTGATTGCTTATATGATATAAGCATATTTAGCAGTACTTTTATTGATAAAAGAAAATAATGTTATACAAAATAAATAAATGTTATACAAAAATGTATAACAATATAGGAAAATATTATTTATAAAAGTTGTATGATTTTGAAAGATATAGTGATAATATTTTTATGAGTAAAAATATGTATAGGATATTTTAAGGTCTTCTTAAAATTTTTTTAATGGAATAAAATTGTAGATTAAATTGCATTTTTTACACAAATTAATTCTCTCAATCATTCTGTGTATAAAAGTACTGAGATAAAATTATTGAAAAATGAACACTTTCTGATATATTTTTCATTTTAATCTGACAGTTCAGAAAGTATAAAAGTATAAAATTGAGAAAAATATTAAACTTTTTAGTACTTCAAGAAAATGCAAGAAAATACAGTACTAAGAAGTTAACTAAAAAATCCTGAAAAAATTCCCGGAGCTCTATAAGAGGGAAATAAACAATTTTTATCTTTTACCATTTTTCGGTAAAGTTGGTAGAATTCGAGTAAAAAATTATTGAGAAAAGATATAAAATATCTCATTTTTTATATCTACTTTTTGGCAACTTAATATTTCTTCGTGTAGAGCGGATGAAATTAATAATAAAAAATAGAGAAACCTTAAATAAAATTCTGTTGAATATTGCAAATTCATTGATGCATCAGTGTACAAATATTAATATCATCAATCAATTTCCTTTGCAGTCATTCTACATACAAAAGTATTTAGGTAAGGACTTAAAAGTAAATAGTTTTTTAGATATTTGAAATCTTGTTCTAAAATATATTTATATAAAATATAAAATATTTCAGAAAAAACTTATTTTTCGATAATTTTACTCTTGTAGTTTTATATACAGAATAATCATACATATTGATTTAAGTTAGGAAAATCATATGATTTTATTTAAAAAGTTTAAAGTGATTTTGAAATCTCCTACATATTTCCACTTAC